GTAGTTGAAAGACTTCTGCGTGACGTCGGTGTTCTAAGTGTTAAGAAGTTCGCTGCACTCTCGCTTAAGCGAGAGGCAACTGGTGGTACGACTGCTTAAGCAGTCGACCAACCTCCCAACCACCCTCGCACGCGAAGGTAAGACGGTATAACCGCTTCCTCGCTTGTGCATAAGGTGTGTGCTCGTAGTACGAGGCAACTTCATAAAAGTGCCCGTCTACATGTTCGGATTTCGAGGCAATTGTGAAATACGGAAAGCACAGTGGGAGATTTCAGAAGACCCGAAGCAACGGCCGCAGTTTCTCTGCCGAGAAAATTCTTTTGTTCAACCGGTACGCATGTCAAGTATGTCAATTATTTTTGTATCAGGGCGGGTGATAACTATTGCTAAGACTTCACTATCGTGCGAAGATTGCCAGTTTGCTGTTACTTGAGCAGCAAAATCACCAGAAGGAGCAATCATCTACAGAAGTACCGACGTGCAAGTCTCATGTTCGCAATTTATCGCATCGCATCGCACAGGCTTTCATCGAATCAACCCTCTTGCGGACCCAATCGAAGCATAATGATTACTCAAGACGTAGCAGATCAAGACGCTACACTCGGCTTTAAAATTGCTGCAAATTGTAGAAACACAAGGTTTGTCTGACTCAAATCGTGTAAAGGTTATTGTAATTGTCTTCTTATTTCTTTATTGCTGTTGTTACAGGTATTGCGTGTGTGATTACTTGTAAGTTAAGCGCATCAATGATTACATTGGCTCTCGGACAGACGATGATCAATTTGGTATGTTCCATACGTTTCGTGAATCCGGACGTAAATCGTCTCACTCGACGAATTGTAAGAGGTAGCTTGGAGTTACCATTTACTCGTTGCTTATAGGAATGTCTACGACGCACTCTAACGCTTCCTTTCATTCATCGAGAACAGGTGGTTGTGCATGTATGTGCATATTCGCGAATGATCCGTAATGACGCATTCATTTCTACTGAATAATGTACTCACGCGTCCAAAATAGAGTATCAACCTTGGCCCAGACACGCCCGCTCTAGAATCTTTGTGGGTATCATGCTTGATGCTGTTTTGTCCTATAGGGAATGAGCATCCTGATAAAAAGCATAGTAAAACGAATTGTGTTGAGTTCAAACCAACTAGTCAGGACGACATGTTGCCGTTTGCAATTCCGTTACTTCAAATCGAAGGTTTCTGTTCGCAGCCTGTCGAAGAAGATTCTCCAGTCAGTCAAATTGCCATTCACTCTGCGTTCCGTCAAAATCACGAGCCGTTCATGCCAGTCAAAAGAAAAAGCTATGGAGAAAAAGCCTCGTCGTCTGCACTTTGGAGTGGTGTGCAATGATGGACTGCACTAGCCGATCACGCATACATGAACGCATCGTTTGCAACAATGTAGGCAAATATCGCCCTTCCGGGTGCAGTTCCTTTAGCGCTGTAATCTCCATCGCGGTTCGTGATTGCAACGTGATGGGATGATTGTGGAAAATACCGAGGAGGAATTGTTCCGGTACTTTACCAAACAAGTGCAGCATAAACTGCTCGTGGTATTCACATTGAATACAGCTTCGGGCGACTCGGGCGACTTTAAAACGTACTAATAAACCCCCGCTCTCTTCAATCGGTGCGTAGTGGATTGGTTGGTACATGGAACGATCACGCGCTAGCCAGGTGGCCTACGAGTTTACAAACTGTAGCGGAGCTGCACAGCTCTTTAGCCAGAGGAAGACTTTCGGCTGAAAGCCTCTTAGTTCGAGAGAACTAAATAGAGTTAAGGCTAAAAGCCACTTAGTTCTAAGGAACTAGTTATTCGACGTTAAGGTCACCCTCTTCTAAGGAAGTAGGAGGGACTCTTAGTCAGCAAGCAATAAGCTTAAGGTTCAGAGAACCAACGCACAGAGTGCAAGAGCAAGCTAGAAGCTTAGGGTTCAGAGAACCAACGCACGAAGTGCACAAGAGAACAAGTCAGAACGACTTGTGGTCTTAAACTCAAAAGGAGAACTGATTTTATTTATGCTTTAAGATATTATGAATAGTCCTACTTTAAGTACACTACACTAGATTAATTACTATAATAGTAGTTATTATATGCAGACTTTGCTATTGAACGACGTATCGTCTTAACATCTGTGTATGATGTACTTAATGGAGCGTTATCGATTTATCGAATCCTAATCGGTAAGATACGGTATTACCGAATACCGTATCTTAACGCTCATACTTAATACCTCTCTAACGAGAAGTATAATAATGCATTATATGCAATACAAAGGAGAGTTTAAGCGTAAACTCTCGGAAAGACGTTACAACCGTCGTGTAACCCCGTTACACCCTCCCCCACCAGACTGACGTTCCCATAGAATGTCACTCGACATCTTTCCTCATAGAGGTAGTGCTTTAGCGAACTTTTAAAACCTCACGGTTTGTTCACGGCACACAACATGACGCCTCCCGGCAGTGAGTCACAGACTCTTAGGGACCTCATTGAGGACGACCTTGACGAAGCGGTTGATTACGAAAGTGACACCGTCTTTGTGGGACCCGATGGGTCCCCTTTAGCCACCCTCACGGGTGAAGATGACACTCGTCATGCACCGAATCCGTTCCCTGAACGTGGTGCAGCAGATGCGCTAACAGCCTTACGTGACCCGCCTGACGTATCATCAACGGTAACGGTTACCAATCCACTCGACGAGCAGCAACAGCGGTCCATCGACCAAGAGGAAGGCGCCAAGCGCCGAACGAAGAACA